CACTGCAACCTCTGCCTCCTGGGTTCAAGTGATTCTCCTGCCTCAGCCTCCTGAGTAGCTTGGATTATAGTAGCCATCACACCCGGCTAGTTTTTGTATTTTTAGTAGAGACAGGGTTTCACCATGTTGATCAGGCTGGTCTCCAACTCATGACCTCGTGATCCGCCCACCTCAGGCCTCCCAAAGTGGTGGGATTACAAGTGTGAACCACCATTCCTGGCCCAAAAACCTTGTGTTTCTGTAGAACATGTTGATTATAATTGAACCTGAAGAGAGGTATAATTATATTGATATATAGGATGGAGGATAAAGAAGGAATAGGGATGAATTTTTATTTTTATATTACTACATTGATTTCAGTGAAAATATTATTTTATAAATTTCGAGGAAGAGCTCTAAGAATTATAGAAAAATCCATAAATGTAATTTTATTGTGTTTTATAACTTTATACAGAAAAATTACAGAAAAATAAAAAACACATGATTTGCTATTACTGTAAAATAAAGAGGATTCAACATTGTTATCCATGGAAACACCAAAGGTGTAGGGGTCACCTTTACCTACAGGAGATGAGAGAGTAAGGATTAGTTTGGACATTTGAAATGTAGTAGAAACTCTTACTGTAGTAAGTAGGTTGCATTTAACCTGCTTTCTCTCCTTAGTCTTCATGCTTTTATGTTCAGGACACTAAATTGCCCGATAGAATTTACTGATTTTATTAGTATCCTTTCTCTCTACCCCATCTCTCCATGCTCCTTCTTAAAAAGGAGCAGGCAAAAGAGGGGTACCCAACAGTGAAGAGAGGAAGATGAATGTTATTTGATTACTGTTTGGGAGAACATACTGAATAGACCCAGGTGTTAGTTCTGCCTTTGGCATTAATAAGCTTATGTGAACTTTGCTCTTGGGATTAAAAATTTCCTTTGACTTGCATTTGTAAAGAAGATAAGAAGTCGGGAATTAGAAATCAAGTCCTCCTGAAAATGACTGCATAATAAAGAACCCCTGAATAATAGAGAGTTGATTTAAAAACAGATTATTTCACCTGCCAACAAAACTGAATAACTTTACCTTTTTGGGGGGAGTGGAATTTTAATGCATGTAGTTGTGAAGTTGTGCATTATGTTGATCAACTAGAAAATTCAAATATTTTTCCTTAAAGCCTGATTACTGCTACATAGGGAAAACTATTACAGTAACAAATACGCGTGACTGTTTGGGATTGCACAATTAACATCCTGAGTTCATAGTGTATACAATGTGAAATATAACCATTTAAAATACAGGAGCAGGTACCAGAGGAACATACAACAGTAAAGAGAGGAAAAAGATGTGACAGTTGATAGACCTGGAAGCCTCAGAAGTATCAGCTATTATAATGTTGTAGGCAAGATCCTTGAATTTATTTTGTATTATGCCTATGGAATTGTGTGTGTAACTTTAAAAAAAAATTAACCACAGTTTATTTGAGGAAAAAAAAAGTTTGGGATAGTATTATACAATGAAATGTGGAAATATACAAGACATCCAAAAATTTTGGAAAAAATCAGACCAATTTCAGATTCTGTAAGACTTTTTCACAGTAGTTAAGGTTTTTATAAGTGGTTCTGAAAATAGCCAACATTATTCCATAGTTGAGACCATAGCTTCCCAAATCCGAAAATCTAAAATCTGAAATGCTTCAAAATTTGAAACTTTTTGAGTGACTAGACATTTTGGATTTTTGGATTTGGTTGCTAAGTATATTGCAAATATTCCAAAAGCCAAAAACAATTGAAATTTGAAACACTTCTGGTCTTATACATTTCTGAGAAGGGATATTCAAACTGTATTACAGTTGATTGGTTTTTTTGTTTCTAGCTGACCTTGGTTAAAACTGTAAATCGCATCTCATTTCCAAGTGTCATCAGCCTTTGCTCTTATTTTGGGCAATGACCTCTCAATCTCTCCGGTTGTTTCAAGTTATTTACTACTGTCCAGTAACAGGTATATCCAGTAAGCCCTAAATTATTGTTGCTTCTTCTTTATAATATCTTGATTTTTGTGCCTCTGTTTCTATCACTTTTTCCCTAAACATTTCTTATTTGGATTATAATGGCAGCCTCACTCATCTAGTCTTGTTTTATCCAATTCATATCATTCTCTAAGAGATCTTTCTAAAGACAAATCTGATCAAATCACTCTTTTCTTCCTCTGGCAAGTTTAAACATCCTTAGATTTCAGTTTGCAAAAGTAAGATGAGCATAATCACCTACCGTATCGGATGGGGATTTTATAAATGGAAAGAGCTTAGTACTTTGCTTCGCACATAGTGTTAGCTATTGTTATAATTTCTTTCTAGCCCTACCTCTCTCTACTGTTCATTTTCTCTATAGAGGATTATCATAAGCACTTATTGTAATTGACTGTTTACTTTTCTGCCTCTCCCACCACGTGGAGTGGGGCGATAAAACCAAATGAATATTTGGAATCTAGTGTGATCTACCCAATAATGAAAGCTACCAGGGTGGGAATGATTCCTGGAGAATATTGGGGAAACTTTTAGAGTGTGTGACAATTTAGCAAGATGTGTAAGGATGAGGAGGAATTCCAAAAACAGGTGGATTGGGGAGCTTCAGGAGGGGAGTTTCCAGCTGAGTGCAAGTTTTAGATCATTTACAGTAGCAACATCTTAGAGTAGAAGCCTGGATGGTAGAAGAGGAGGCTGCAGAGGTAAGCAGGGTGTCTGATCATAAGAAGTTTCCTGACCATCTGTAGCCCCTTACCTTGTAAAAGGACTATGTACCCGAAGTAGTTTTTCATTTTGCATCTTAGAGGGAACATTCTGGTGCCAGTGTGGAAGAAGAATTGGAGAGAGAGAAAAAACTTGGGACCTGAAGCCCAGGTTGATTATTTAAGGTTGTGGTATAAGTCCAATAATTAAGCCCCAAACTCAAATTCCTTAAGGGATCAGGCAGGTAAAAATGAATGTACTCTAAGGTTTAGAGAGAGTACTGGTTCTGTGGTAAAAGGGAATTCAGCATGTATTTCTTTCAACCTCACCAAGGAATTCACATTCAAAATTTTAAATACCATTGTGTTACCAAATAAAACAACTTTAACATTGAAATCTCCTGGTCAAAACCAAGATGGTTGCAGCAATGATGGAAATAACATTTCTGTCTTGAGAGACTGGATGGTTGGTTGTGTTATCTGCTAACAACAAGGGAGTATAGGAGGAATCACACACTTGTGACAAGTGAAGAGTTACGTTTGAACATGTTGGATTTGAGATGTTTGTGGAATATCCAAGCAGAGATAGCTTGTACACAGTTGTGAGAAGTTGGCTGGAGAATTAGATTTGGCAAGCCCTCCATGTCATGGAGTGATTTGTTTAAAGAAAAAAGATGTGATAGAAAAGGGCTGAGTTTTAAACTCCCCAAGGAGGTTTTAAACTTGAAAAATGGCCAGTGAGAGGGCCAGTAAAGTAAAAGACAGTG